GGACACGGCATATTGTTCATCTTCCTGAATTATGTCTATGAACTCTTCCCTGATACTAAAATCACAAAGTAAGTTGTAATGAGAGCTAGTGCAAAGATTATCCTACCTGTACATTCGCATGACTGTGTTCAGTTTATGATATTTGTACAGATTATATTACAGCTAAAACCTGTGTATAAGAACATTTAAGCAATAGAGCTTTTTTCCGTGTTTATGTAGCCTCATCTAAACACAAGGAGTGTTGGGAGAATTCGAGACGGTTATGCAAACCCAAGACATAGTTGAGGGTTGGCATAACTTTCGAGAATTCTCCCAGCCCCCCAAGTGTTTAGATGAGGTTATGTAAACACGGAAAAAGTCGTCTATTACACGTAAAATAATGATCAAAAGTACATGCAAATCTAAAACGTCACAACTGTGTTTACATACTCCTATCTAAACACACCTAATGACCAATGAGAGCGTGCATAGTAGCTCTCAGTTATTTTATAAAGGTTTTTTCAAGTTAAATGGTGTTTACTGTTAAATTATGCTACCTAGGTTCTTAATCAGGTTCTTAATTTTCGTTTTAAAAAACAACTTGTTCTCATGGGTGTGGCCTTTATATTGAATCATTCACAACACAGTATTGTGGTCTTACAACACTGCCAGTGTTCTGGCTAGGTTTTGTTACCTTTTTTGTATTTCATGTGATGTACCATACATATTATATTTGGAAAAAACTCTGACTTACTATATTTTGAAAAGAATAACCTGTATTGAGATTTTAACCTACAATGGTTCTTACGTGCTTAATGGGGAAATTTTAGCCGAATAGGTTCTTACATTTTAGGTTCTTGTACGCAGGTTTGTTGTTGTTCATACTACATTGTAACTATGAAATTAATTAATGTTTGAAATTTCAAGCGGAGTTGGTGATACTAGTTGATACTTTGAACAGGTGTGCATCCATGCGTGAGCACACGCATGGATCAGTTAACGGGCCTCGAGGATTAACATGACTATTTATAATTAGGTTCAGTGGACCACTGACGATGTCTATACGACTGGATGAGGATGAGGAAGACTTGCCCAGTAGTCCTGAGTAAGACCGGAACGATTTTGTTAATTTCTGTGTTATTCCTTTGTCATCATATTTTTCTGCGTCGTCATCATCATCATCATAATCATCATTGTCATCATCAC